CAAAAGACTCCACATAGAGCTCCCCTATGACCCAGCAATCCCACTTGTGGGCATTTACCCAAATGATCACAAACAAGACAATACTAAAGCTACCAGCCCAATTATGTTTATTGCAGCATTATTTACCATAGCTAAGATATGGAACCAACCCAGATGCCCCTCAGTAGATGAATGGATCAAGAAAATGTGGGGGATGGGAAGGGGAAACAAAGGAGGAGGCAACAATGCTTGATAAGAAAGGTACCCATGTAATTGTAACCCCTCTGTACAGTATTTTCACAATAAAAAATAAAGTAAAATAAAATAAAAGCTCAGTACAAAAAAAAAAAAGAAAATGTGGTATATATACACAATGGAATTCTACGCCTCCATCAGAAAGAATGACATTGGCCCATTTGTTAGGAAATGGAAAGACTTGGAAAAAATTATATTAAGTGAAGTTAGGCCCAAAGAAACATGGTTCCCCTTATTTGCAATTACTAGTATATGTCTGAGACAAGCAGAAAGGTCAGATAAGATGATGTTAAGCGAAATGAACCCCAAGATAAGGACACAAGTGGTTTTTTTTCTTTCTTCCTATTGTTTCTAATGTATTTATAGGGTACCACGTGACTTTTTTGTTGCTTTGTATGTCCCTCCCCCACAGTATAACCCTGTTTTCACTGTATTTGATGTTGGTAAAATTTGGGGAGCAGAAGTGAAAAAAATTGTTTAAATAGGGATTCAGGTTGCCCCATTGCAATGAAATGTACAAGACGCTATGTCGAAAAATGAACTTTACAATTTAGGCAGGGCAGAGGTGGGGGATGTAGTTGTGGAGATGGGAGGGAAGGGATGGTAGGGGAAAAACAAAGGAGGAGGTAACAATGATTGATAAGAAATGCGCTCATTACCTTGCTCATGTGATTGTAACCCCTCTGTACGGTATTTTCACAATAAAAATCTTATTTTTTTAAAAAGAGGCTTTGTTCTATCAGGCCCTGGATGCATCCCCACTATTTCTCTTCCTCCTTGTTTTAGCTTGAGGTTTTTTTTTAAATATGCTTCAGCACTACCTAGCTTGCTTTCAGTGTTAGCAGCTGGGTAAACACTTTCTGTAACACGTGGGGTAAAATGGCAAGCTTGAGGGAAAGTCTTCTACATTACATTTTTTTAAACAATTTTAAAAATACTGTACGTTTGCTTGCAGGCATGATTGGGAAGAGCCGTACCTGAGAGGAACTGTGAGGGCTGGTTGGGGGAAACAGAGCTGATGGCCAAAACAGACAGTGGCCATCCTGAATGAGGCCCAGGCCCTGGAGTGAGGTCTCTAACCATGCTTAACAAAACTAAGAAAACAAATGACACTGATTGGCACTTGCACACAAAGGGAACACCTGATTGTAAACAAAATTATCTGAATGTTTACAGTGTGTATTTTAAAAATGCCAAGAAAAGAGTTGCCACGTTTGAAACGTAGGAAGAAATTCCTTTATCAATTTAGAAATCCAGAGTTCTAAAAACGAAAATCCATATACCCTTCAATTTTCAATGTTGGGTGTCAAATTAAGGGTAAGTAAAAAGTTTTGTTTTGTTCTGTTTCTTAATAATGCAATGAGTATCATTCTTTAGAGTTTATTTTTAAAGTTATGTGTATGGCTGATTATCCTTACAAATTCCTTGACAATTTTACATATTTTAGTGGTTTTTCAAATGTAAAAATATAGGTTAAGGAACGTTTATGTGAACAGTAAAGAAATGTACTTATGATATCATGTCTAACAATAGACAACAGGCAAAAACATAGGATCTTCACATGGTAATATAGGCAGCCACTATTACTAAAAGTTAGCTTTCACCATAGAAATAATTTGTAAAACCAAATAGAAGAAATTGTAACATGTATATCAACATGCTCAAAATTCAGGACAACAAATGATTAACAGACACAGTTTGTTGGTACAATGCTTTTTTAAAAAGTGATCATTTCCAAGGCTATATAAAAAGTATGGAAAATTAACCGTGGGTTCAGCAAAACAGATGTTTTAGAAGGGTTCAAAACAACAAGAACATGGCTTGCTAGAAAGTCTGCAAGGAGTATCCTAATGAAGTCTAGAAGGCAGGCCTTTTTGTGGTTTTGGTGATGGTGGTAGTGATGGTGATATTTGGTAGTCCTGAGGATTGGTCTCAAGGCCTTATGCATGGAAGGCAAGTGTTTGCTTAAGGTTTATGTTTTGTTTTTTAAGAAGGAAGTTTATTAAACTCGCAATTTAGAGAGCTAAAAGTCCAAAGGGCCTAAGCTAGGCTCAGTGAGGGTCACCTGGTGACCTTGAAGCTCTGTGTGGTTCTGATTGCAGTAATGGGATATATTAGGGAACAAGTGAGTCTATCTTGAATAAGGAAAGAGAGTGAGAATTGAGGGGAGGCCAGGCTTGCCCTCTGCCTCCTCGCCCCTTTTGTTTTATCAGGCCCTGGGTTACCCTACATTATTTACCCTTTTAAAAAAAATGGATTAATCTCCATATTTTAACCATCTTCAGGGAGAATTCAAGGACTCTAACAAGATCTACCTTCTTATTTCTATATTGGCATACAGTGGTTGTACAAGGAGGATCTCATTGTGACCTCTCCACACATGTAAATAAATCTCCATCAATCTCATCCCCTCTATTGCTCTCCTCCTACCCACTCTCCTCCTTTAAACAATTTCAATAGGTTTTGTTGTTCTATCGTCATACATTCAAATAAACTACCTGGACCATATTCATCTTAATTCACCCTCTTTGTTAGCTCTCCTTTAGTGTCAATGATCCTTCCTCCACCACAGCCTGTTTTACTTCACTGTTACTCATTTTTTAGTGTATACTAATGACACCACAGAGGTCACTTTGATGTTTCAGATGTGCATATATTATATTTTGCTCAGAATAATCCTCCCTATTGCTTTCTCTTCCCCTACTGCCCCCACCCATATTGATCAACTGCTTTCATTGAGTTTCTTTATGCCTTCTATATAGTTACCCTGTGGCTTTTGTTTTTAGTTTTTTAGTTTTTAAGTTTTTTGTCAGTCACGGGGCTTGAATTCAGGGCCTGAGTACTGTCCCTGAGCTTTTTGCTCAAGGATAGACTACTTTGAGCCATAGATCCACTTCTGGTTTTAGATGGTTAATTGGAGATAGGAGTCTCACAGACTTTCCTGCCCAAGCTGGCTTCCAACTTTGATCCTCAGATCTCAGTTCCCTCAGTAGCTAGGATTACAGGTGTGAGCCATCAGTGGCTGGCCATCCTGTGTTTTTTCTTTTATGCTATATTCCTAGTGCTCAGTCCCTGGTACATAGTACATTTTCAATAGAATCTATAAAATAAATGAGTAAGTTATGCCAGAAATTTCTGAGTTCCTCTCCAGGTGGAAAAAAAGGAGATCTAGCTATTAATGTAATACTTCAAACTTCCTTTTTTAAATTATTAGCTTATCATTATATTAGTTATACATAATTGATGCATCTCCACATATTTACATTGGATTCAACCAATCTCACGCCATTTATGACACTCCTTGAATCTTCCCCCACCCCAAATTATAGCATACCCAACATAATTTTACATAATTGCAAATAACCTATTTCCTCAATATTGGATTTTCTTTACCCACCCTGACAATCCAAATGTAAATATAATAAGTTTATGGGTCCAAGAAGGCTGAAAATCCTACTTCTATTTAAAAATAGAAAGGTGACAAATTATTTCATTCACCCCAAAGGGAAAAAATTAAAATTAACCTGTTACTGATCTTGCCTAAAATTTTTACAAAGTAGAGTCCTCTAACAAAATTTAGCAAGGAAAATGTTTAAGGACACACACAACCAAGGGCTTAACTTCCTGGCTCTTGAAACCATCAAAGTTCTGGCAAGTAAATGATAGAAGATGATCTTTGTATCTGCTGGGGTTTTATATTTTTCTTGGGCTCAGCTCTTCTCACAGCATGTGCATGATTTATTTAAACTATCAAAGAGCTTTTGATAATGGTTCGCACAAGTGGCTATTATTAAAACTTGGTAACCATGGTGTGAAAGGAAAAAAAGTCCTATCAATGAATTAAATGAATTAAAAATGCTTGAGAGGAAAAAGGCAAAAACAGAAATAAATGGCCAATTCTCATGCACAGAAAGGTTAATCGTTGAGGGCTCTGGGGTTTTGCAGTAGAATCCATTATATTTAACAAATGACCAGGAAAGGGGCATCCAATTCCCATTCCCAAATTCTGTGTGTGTCAGTCCCATGCACAGAGCTCCCATTGAACTAAAGAGCAATTGGCACAAGGAGAAGATACAGACAGTGGAGAAAAATGTATTGACATTCAACAAAGAAAAAGTAGGTAAATGAATATGGACTTCGAATTTCATGTCGAGATCCCAAAATATAAAGGGAACAGAAATTAAGTAACATTTGCAGAATTTTATTTTTTCTAACAACTTCAACTATATTACGTAGAAACACATGAGCCTTTTCAAAAGGCTAAGTATGACCCCAGGCATGTGGCTCAAGCTTATAATTCCATCTACTCTGAAGACAGAGATTAAGAGGCAGTTTGAGGCCAACCCAGACAAAAAGTTCAAGAGACCTCCATCTCAACCAATAGCAGGGTGTGGTGTTATACATCTGTCATCCCAGCTATACAGGAAGCAAAAAGAGGGATTTGTAGTCCAGTCAAACACAGGCAAAACACAAAACCCTATCTTAATATTAAGTAGAATCCAAAAAGCTGAAAACATAGGTCAAGGAGTAAGTTCCTGCCTAGCAAGTGCAAAGCTGTGAGTTCAAACTCCAGTGCCACAAAAAAAACACATTCAAATTTTTTGTGCGACAACAAAAGCAAAATCAGCTTTAAATTGCTTTTCCATTAACCAATGAAATGGAAAAAATAATAAACTTATCTAAACAACACAAAAGAGACCCTACAGAACACCAGATAAATGCTTAGCCCATATTCTGAAATTCATAAGTACTAGATCTAAGCTTACCGTGCAGATAGTATTTTTATAAGTTCTTTTCTATTTTGTACCCGAAGATGGTTGGTTTTATATTTGGAGTCATCAATCAACTCAGGCAAATTCAAGATCTAAAAATGAAACAAAAATCATTTTAGAAAAATTCACAAATTTCTCATGGAACTTTGAGTCCTTGTGGATCCTGGCATTTGGGGTCTATCATCATCTCCTTGGTTATAATCTCCTCAATGAGGAGATGGATCATGCTGCTGAATGGGTTTGTAATTTATGAGAAGGTTTTACTACATTCTTGTGTCTACATATGAGTGCACAGAAAGAGTTATCAGACATCCATAATGCCTTGTAACTATATGTATAAGAATATAGAAGAGTTACCAAATTCTTCCTTTAAATATCATATTTAGGGGGCTGGGCTCAGTAACAGAGTGCTTGCCTTGCATGCAAGAGCCCTGGGTTCGATTCCTCAGCACCACATAAGCAGAAAAAGCCAAAAGTGGTGCCATGGCTAAAGTGGTAGAGCGCTAGCCTTGAGCTGAAGAACTCAAGGACAGAGCCCAGGCCAGAGTTCAGGCTCCATGACTGACCAAAAAAAAAATTGTATTTAGCAGAAATCTGCATACAAAATTGGCTACAACTAACCTAGAATCGCTATCAAAAGCACTGCCTATATAAAAAATAAAGTGCTGCCTACACTTGCAGGGAGACCACAGTCAACATTTATCTTATAGGTACATTGACTTATTTGTTCCGCATATTTAAAAAAGTTATCTGTCCCAGTAGTGCTACCCAGGTGCTAAATAAAAAAGAAAGTAAATACATTTGCCCAAATGTGAACCATTAAAGCAATATCAAATTAAAGGATCTTCTTTGTATAGCAGTGTCCCTATTTTTCTTTTGTATGTCTCCCTGAAGAAATACTGACTAGAAATGCTTTTATATACTTACTTCCTCTTCCACCGTTCCTCTCTCCTGCAAATCCCTTTGGACATCTTGCAATTTTAACAAGACTATAATGAAAGTACCAAGTTCCATTTGGAATGAAAAAGACGTTTGGAAAAGAATGTGTGGAGGCAGAGTTTGGCAGTTGTGTTGGAAAGTCAGAAGGAGCATTTATGGGCTGGGGGCAGGCCATGTGGCCTACAGAAAGCCTTGCTGCCTTTATTAATGTATTTGCTTTCAACATAAACATTTAATGGTTTCAATTGTTTCCCACAGTTTAAAATAAAATCGTCATTAATCATCTTACAAGGAGACAAAAGTGAAGAAGATTCTCCAAAGTAAAGAGGCCATCTTAATTGAAGAATTCATCTTTCACATGTTTCCTTTAGGAATGATAAAGATAGCGTTACTCTCCTGGATTTGCAAACACCAAATACCCTTACTAAAACAAAACTTCCTGCCACCAAATCTGATCCCAGAATTGGCCCCAAATCTTATGCAACAGTCAGAAATCCTCCCTCCCTTGTGGTGAATAAATTATTTGAAGATAAAGCAAGTCCTTTCCCTAAATCACTGGTTCCATTTGCAAGTCCAACCATACTCAAAAAACACCCTCAGCTACATCTTTTTATTTTTTACTTTTTTTAACTGTAAGTATTGTTTTATAACACTTCTATTTAGAACACATAAACAGCTACACTTTTTTAATTGTACAGTTACTGCACTCAATGGGATGCCTATGGAGCCTCTGTATTTAACTGTTTAGATTCTCTTTCTTCTTTCGAAGCAATGGTCCTTCTGTCTTCAGCTCTTCCAGCTAATGTTCAAATTGTTTCTAGAGAGACAGCTTCCAGATTCTTGAGCAGAACCATCATTAGGTGCTGAAAAAAGAATGCTGTCAGAGAGAAATGAAGCTGTACATGGAAGTGCTTGATATATTGAGCACCACATTAATGTAAACTTCTGCAACAAGACACTGTTTCCTTTAAAAGAAATAATGAAGGGTACATTTGCTTGAAAAAGAAGGAAGGGAAGGAGACAAAAATGAATGGTCCCCTCAGTAGATGAATGGATCAAGAAAATGTGGTATATATACACAATGGAATTCTATGCCTCCATCAGAAAGAATGACATTTCCCCATTTGTTAGGAAATGGAAAGGTTTGGAAAAAATTATATTAAGTGAAGTAAGCCAGGCCCAAAGAAACATAGGTCCCATGGTTTCCCTTAGTTGCAATGAAAGACCCCCGAAGGCTTGGGGTGTCCTTCAGTCTGAAGAGACCCTTCCCCAAGGAACAACGAGACCACTTGTGCGGATGCAATCAGCAAGAGGTTTATTCGGGCATGCCTCGGCTCCCAGGTGCACTTAACCACGAGATCCACAAGGTTCGAGTCAAGTGTCTGAGAACCGGTTACACGGGTACCCGGGGCGACAAAGTCTATCGGGAGACTTGCGCGCCGAGTGCTTGAAAGCACCCTCTTTTTATGGACAGCAGAAGCGAGGTTACAGAAGCGAGATGCGTGGTTACAGGGGGATGATTGGTTAATTTCAAATTACGCTCAGGGTGAGGATTGGTCAGGTTAAGCTAGCCAGATGGGGTAGGTGGGGTTGGGGGGAAAGCTGACGTGTCGGTACTTGCCCGGACAAGTCTGTGCGGGTCGTTATGCACCGAAACTGTTTGTTCCCTAATTTTGACAAGTGATTTATTACATCCTGCCCTACCCTGCCATTAGGGTTAGGTTTTACAGGAAGGGACAGGTGGGTCGGCTATTTTCTAGGAATGTCTGGCTTTAAGGCATGTACTAGGGTCAGGCTAGGGTCTGCAGGCGGTGACTCAGAGGCTCGAGGTTTCGTTTCCTGGTTAGCGGCCTGCACTTATCCTGCCCCACCACCCCCTTAGGTATGCAGGGTAAGGGGCAGCAACTTTCTTGGGGTACCTAGTGGGCAAGCACGGGCTGGGGTCTTTCATTCCCCCATTTCCTTTTGCCTGAATGAAATCCTTCATTCACCCGACGTTTCCTCCGTTAATTTAAGCTGATGATATTGTTGGGTTAGTACTAGGGCCTGTACGACCGATAGTCGGTCTTTTACAAATTGTATCAGGCGATTTATAATGCAGGGACCTAAGGTAAGAATTAGCATTAATAGTATTAGTGGTCCCATTAGGGAGGATAACAGGGTAGCGAACCATGGGGACTTGTTCCATGATCCTTTGTACCAGCTGTACTTGTAAGCTCCAATTTTAAGACATACTCATACCATTTGCTACATACTTAAACTTTCTGAGGTTTGTCTTCTTTAAAGACAATTCTTACTTTTCAAATCCTTTCTTATCCAAAGTGGATATCAATTTTTTCCCCAATTCCTTTCCCAAGGCTTTCTTTACTACCTTCTTTACAATCCCTTTTCCAAGGCTTTCTTTACCACCCTCTTTCTTTACAATCCCTGAGCATCTTTGTAGCTGTAGTTTAAAACTGCACAATTTTCCTTTTGCTTGCGGAACCTTTATCTTAGAACAGCCTTAAGGCACCACTGTGATGTAGAAGCTTGCTAGATTTTAAGGCTAAGAGTATTACCTCCATTGATAACACACTCAGGTTATTACCATACCAGAGCCAAACTAGGCTGTGACCATAGAGTGGATTTCCAGTCACTATGCACTGAAGTGCCTAAGACAAGTAAGCCAATGATATCCTTGTCCCCAATATTCACTGTGGGAAGAGAGGGTTTTTGGATATCACCCAAAAGAATGTCCGACAAGATCGTAGATTTAGCAGCAGTCAACCAGGAAGCAGACTGAGGTGATGGAATCTTTAGGCAGGAGTTTCTCCAGGTGGCTGTCAGGCAGTCGTTGAACTTTAACCATTAGGGTATGCAGCAGCAGCAGCAGCAGGATCTCTCAGTGGCTCCAAGGGACTGTCACACCTCATGCTGGGCTGTAAATTCCTACACAGACTGGTTAAGGATACATTGCATAGGCTTGGCAGGCTTTGATCCTGCTGGTTTTTAAGATCTTTAAACAATAGCCCAGGACAATTTACCAAAATCACAACATTTTTACTAACCAGATATTTTTGTAAATAGACACAGAAGGCTCAGAAGGCTTAGTCTTGTAACCATCTCTGACAGATGCAGTCTCCACACCTTGCATATCAACAACTGTTAGCCCTATTTTTTATGCCTTTAAAAGAATTATTTTATCTATTTTGCCTCATTTTTCCAAAACTGACTCTGGACCCTTGATCTTAAAATGGGGGTAGAAGGGCGAAGATCCATCTTCTGTAACTTCTTCAAGCTGACTTCAGGGGCGTTGATCTTACCTAGCCAGGAACCTATAACCTTAGCCTATTTTACAAAGAAGCCATCAGGGTTAGATGTCATTAAGAACAATATTTAACATTTGACAACTGCACAGACCTTTTCTCCGGCTACAGCAGTGTAGCTTGTTTAGCACTCTGGTTTGCAAAAGCATCTTCCTAGATGGCTTAGGAATGTGATCTCAACAATGCCTAAGATGCCTAAGTTACCTTTGCAGGCCTTTAGACAGATATCAATAGAAACACACTCAGGTTTGCAAACTTTTTCCTGAGCAAATGAACTTCATGTAACTAGTGTCAGCCAATCAATTAAAGCTTTTTGGCACATAAAGGGGTTGAGATTTAAACTATCCCCCACATTTTATAACATTAGCTTTTTACTATCATAGAGGATTGGCAAGTTCCTGTCTCTTACAAGGTAGTCATGAACATTAGGCATGCTTCCAAACTATCTTCCTATGACCTCCCGGCTCTGACCAGTTTTGAAAGGCCACGCACAAATGACACTAGGATCTGACATTTCTGCCATCCAAGCAGTGGCTTACTGCCTCTGGATGCTTCTCCATTGCTTTTGTCCCAGGAGTATCTTCTCCACATTGGGATAAATGCCTCATTGGCATTTCCCTTTAGCTGGTTGCTGGACTCGAACTCAGGGCCTGAGCACTGTCCCTCAGCTCTACAGCTCAAGGCTAGCACTCTGCCACTTTGAGTCCCAGACTCAGGGCTTGAATGCTGTCCCCTAACTCTTCAGTCCAGGGCTAGTACTCTGCCACTATGAGTCTTGAGCTTGGCGCTTGAGTACTGTCCCCTGACTCTTTAGTCCAGGGCTAGTACTCTGCTGGCTGAAGAGAGGT